CTAAATCAATACGGAATTCTACTTGCCTATCCGGCGGTACCCCAGGCAAGTCGTCAGGGAAAACACCTTGAAATTCACACACAATTGGTACATCTTTTACAGTTTTCTTCATTTCTTTGGTTGCATCCAAAACATATGCCATGAAAGAAGAGCAACCCTTAGCAATATAACGTCGTGCTTTAAGCATATATATTACCTTCAAGTGGCCTATACGTCTTTCCCCATAAATATATAAGTAGTCTCCATTCTCAACTGGTACCCGAATCATCCTTTGAGAACAAATGATATCCGCACGGTTCTTCACTAACCAATCCATACCAATCACGACATCGAAACCACGGATATCCATAGAAATCAAATCTACTAAAAAGTCATGTTCGTCTAACACTAAAGTGTAGTCTCTACACACTCTATCAGCTACCAAAGTGACTCCATTAGCAGTATCAACGGTAAATGGTATAGAAAGCATAACTGGCACAGATTCTAAATAACGAACATAGACATGCGACACAAAAGAATTTGTAGCTCCAAAATCGAACAAGATACAAGCAGGTCTAGAGTTAACAAAGAAAATACCAGTAAAGACGTCTGCCTCATTGCGAGCCTCCACCGCGGTAATCTGAAAAGCTCGAGCTCGTGCTTTGGGTATCTCCTCCTTTTGACTTGAAGCACCACCCACTGCCGGTTGCTGCATTGACGCCTTACTTTCTTCCCACCTCACACGGGGGCATTCAAATTGTCGATGCCCAAATACTTCACAAGAATAACATGCTCGATTTCTTTTTAGGCAGTTTACACGAACATGACCCATTTCCCCACAATAAAAACATTTCAAGTTTGTTGTTTCAGTAAGGCATTGCCCTTGGTGAGTTTTGCCACATCTTTGACAAGGACGTGACGCATTAGATTGAAGTGAATAGACTCGTGATTGGGCACGCAGAATATTTTGAGATTGACTCCTTCTAGGAGTGAAAGATCGAGATTGTCGCTGAGTAGATACAGAGAAGGTTCTTTCAGTTCATTGCCTTTTTGATTCAGAAATTGGTTCCTCAAATTTCGTTAAATCGTGTTCACAGCGACGAGCATACTCCACAGGTTTATAGAAACTCGGAATATCACGATTAACAACAAGCTCTCGGATTTCTCTCCTCAGACCATCAACAAAATGCTCTATTCGATCATGTTCAGAAGATAAGAATCGTAAGGCAAAACGTGCCTTACGATTAAATTGAGTCTCTTACTCAATCACAGACATGTTCCCTTGCTTGAGTTCCAAGAATTCTTTCTCAAGCCTTTGTTGCAAGTCGATCGGACAGAATTGCTCAAGGAAACGAGTCTTGAAAGACTCCCACGTCAAGCTTTCTCGTTCATTTTTAGTCAGGGATTCAAAAGTTGCATCCCACCAAGTGAGTGCATGCTCTGTCAACATTGCACTAGCATAATTCGCTTTATCCTCATTCATCACTCGGGAAATTCGAAACACTTTTTCAGTGTTTTGAAGCCACTGCATAGCGATTATCGGGTCAAAGAGTCCAGTGAATTCAGTAGCACCACTACTTCGGAAGCTTTTAAACGAGACCCGTTCAGATTTGGGTTTTGAGAGACCACCCAGCTCTTTCTCTTTACCCTTTTCTATGTCATGCATATGATGTTCAAAAGTTTGTTGAACAAAAGTCGTAAGTTGTTTCATTAAGCGTTCACTACGGGGAGACAATGGTGTAGCATCCTCATTCAGGTTGAGGTCGGGATCGTTTTCTCCAACATTAGGGTTTGTTGGAGTGTGACTAACAACATCATCATCAGCCATGTGTCCTGAAAGGTGCACACATGGTGAGAGTATTAAAATATAGAGTATTAAATAGTATCCTATTTATGGTCCCTTACCCAACCTTGGTCTTTCCTAATGGTCCATATCCCGTATAAATCATCGCCTAGTTACTATATAACATCAACGCCTAGTTTAAGTCTAGATACCATTATTGATACCTAGTTCACTTAAACTATTGCTCTGATACCATATTTGTAACATCACGATTACAAAACAAACACTTACCAACCTTTATTAAATAAATTTTAGTTTCAAAAACCTCAAGATACGGGATAGCGATTTACAACCCAAAATACATAATTTTAATACTTAATAAATACATAGCTAACAAAAAAAACATAATCATCAGGGACATGTCTACCCGAAATATACATACTATGAACAACCCAAAAGTATAACTTATACCTAAACTCAAAAGTAGGCTTTACACGTCAATCCCTAATCGATCATCCGACCTTGTTTTTGCCTTTGCCATTTTGCCCTGAAAAGTTAAAACCACTAAAAGATAAGCTATATGGCTTAGTGAATTTATGTGGAAAAATGTGGTTACAATGTGTTATATAAGCGTACATACTACAAAATAAAGAAGGTCTCGAATGAAATTTTGCATAACAACACGACAACAACTTAGTTGTACCACATGATGTCCTTTACAACAACCTACTTTGAACGTGGGAATCACAAAAGAATGTTCAACATAGAAAAAGAACATCAATATAATCAACATCATACTCGAGATCAAGCAAGGTCACATACCAATTAACTTCACACACAAACATAAGACTTGRCACCAAATCCGCCCTTCTTCTTCCRGATTATGCCAAAGTCCTATACTCACCCCCTGGCTCCCACTGGGCAGTGAGTATGGCAGCCCCTACGGTTGTCTCACCCGGACTCCATGAGATATCGACAATCGACGCCCAAAACACACCACATGACAATACAAGCAATAAGACCAATTCGAGGTGATAATCTAGAACTAACATGAATCATGGATAAACAATAAAACATCATGGCAAATATAATCATAAAGTACACACATATGTCCACATAAACTCACTATGTTGTTTAATGAAATCGATTGATCAATCCGGAAGCCAAACCGAAAGGTCGAATCCTAACTCCCGTTCAGTGGTTGGAAAGCACTTCGAAGGCCTTAAATTATGCTTAAATAACACCTGGAGTTCATATATAAAGTCTTATTAGCAATKCACAACAATAACATAAAATTAACCCTTTTTAATTCAAGTTTTCTACTTTAGTTTTCTCCTTACAGCACCTACTTGCAGACCTGTTTTGACCTTCTTAATCTCAAAATCATTAAATGACTTTCAAATATGAATTGTAGAACGTTTTCTTACCTTTCCAGAGCCTATTTGTACATATTTTTAGGAATTTTCTACAATTTTATACGATTTTTCTAAAACAGATCTTATACCAAGACTTTCAAACTCGAAAATAGCTATTTTTCACCTTTTCATGTTAAACTCCAAACCATTTTGTACCAAATTCATATATTAGTCTTATATTACCATAACTTATATGAAATCATCATGAATCCATCATTATTTTACTAAACATTCACCTAGTTCATCTTCATATAAGGTTGACTATCAAAAGTCAAACTTTCCCAAACCATATCATGTATACACAACTATTTCTTGTTATCTAGTCATGATTTCCACAAGATAATAAGTTATGTATTACATATCCTGCACAATATCAAGATTTCAGCTTATAATTCTCAACATGCAACCCTAATTTCATGGTTTCTTGAACTCAAAGTGAATACAATATCAAAAATGGAAGCATACCTTCAATAATCTTGCAAAATTTCACCAATTTCTTGCTAAAACACCCAAGTTTGGTTCCTTTGAAGAGTACAAAAGCTTAGAAACGAAAATGGGGAAGAATTGGGGCTGAATTCATGTTTATATGTCTAAAACCCGAGTTGGGTCTGTTTGACCCGGTTGGGTACCCGTTTTAACCATTAAACACTAAAAATTGCATAACTTTTCGCTCGAAACTTCGTTTTCGATAAGATTTTCACCTACGCGTTCATAACAAGATAATATATAATTTACAAAAAAAAAGTTTCATAAACGACCTTCCAATAACAGAAGTTTTCATATTTGTACGAGTTATGCTTTCATTTGAAATTTTACCGTTTTTGATTTTGAGTTCGGAATCCCGTAAAAAATTTCCGACACCTCCAACAACTCCTAATAGGTCCAAAACTTAGTTCCAAAGCTTAACATCCTATCAAAAACCTCCCGATTGAGTATTGTGCACGTAATTTATCGAAATCATACCGTAATTTGAATAAACTTGCATAAAATGCAATCTACGCGACTTTTTCGACTTCCGACAATTCTAACACTTTATATTAACTTATTCAAAGGTGTTCCAACATTTAGATTCCCATTTAGATCTTCTATTCAAGTTTTGGGTAGATTTTTCTCATTTAGGCACTCTAGATACCTACCCAACTATCATGTATGCAATGAACGTTGTATGTTGAACCCTCACATTATCTAATTATGTCAATTGTGAGGTGTTAGCACCAATCTTACCTTCTACATCTCATTCCAATTATGAGTTCTACTTATAGCTCACTAGTATACTTAGCATTTTAGCAAAAAAAAAAATTAATAACACATAAGGTATGCTTATAATTACTAGTTAAGCATATTTAAATAGGTGGATGTTACAAATTTTATTGGAAAAAAACTGTAATATCTGAGCTGTGTGTACATTCAAATAACTTGAAAACAACAGCTAGCAGCAGGTACATATTATGCTTCATCAATATAAGTAGACACACAATTCTGTTTCTTTGACGCCTAACTTACAAGTTTATCTCCAAGAAATTGTACGTGACCTGAGGTGATTTTCCTGCCCAACATACACCCTGCATAATCTGCATCTGAGTAGGCAGTCGGCTCAAAACTAGTACCCTTAGGATACCAAAGTCCTAGATTAGCAGTCCCTTTTAGATAACTAAAAATGTGTTTAGCGACACTCAAATGGTTTCTTTTGAATTCGCTTCATATCTGGCACAAAGATGTGTTGAGAACATAATATCAGGTCTACAATACTTTAAATACATCAATGAACCAATCATACCTCGATAGGTTTTCTGATCTACAACTTTACTAAAAGGATCAGCATGTAGTTTTGAACCAGGAGCTATAGGTGTTTTTATAGATGAACAATTTTCCATATTAAATTTTTTTAGGATATCAATATATTTTGTTTGACAGATAAAAATTTCTGAAGATAATTGTTTAACTTGAAGACCTAAAAATAAGTTCATCTCATCCATCATACTCATTTTAAACCTAGAAACCATCAAGGCTGAAAAGTTTTTGCAGTATTTAGGATTCGTAGATCCAAATATTATATCATCAACATAAATTTGTATCAAGATTATGTCGGACTTTTCATTTTTGATAAAAAGGGTTGTGTCAATTTACCTTTCGAGAACCTGATTTTACAAAGAATTCAGATAAAATATCATACCAGGCTCTAGGGGCTTGTTTTAGTCCATACAAGGCTCTGTCTAAGATCTAAACATGATTAGGCTTTGACTTATCAACAAATCCTTTCGGTTGAGCAACATATACTTCTTCCTTGAGAAGATCATACAGGAATGTCGTTTTGACGCCCATTTGATAAGCTGTAAAGTTTTTATGAACCGCGTACGCCAAAAACATCCTTATAGCTTCATTTCTTGCTAACGGAGCAACTGTTTCATCATAGTCAACGCCCTCTAGTTGATTATACCCTTTAGCTACTAACCGATCCTTGTTTCTGACAATAACACCATCTTTATCCTTCTTATTCTTGAATACCCATTTAGTACCGATAATCGCCATGTTTTTGGGACGAGGAACTAATCTCTAGACTTTTAGAGTTTCAAACTGATTTAGCTCTTCTTGCATAGCTATTATCCAATCCAGATCCACTAAGGCTTCAGAAAC